AATGAACTAAATTTTTATTTATTTTTACAAATTATATTGTCACCAATCTTTATAAATTCACGAATTGAAGGTATTGATGGAAATATTCCAATGTTTATTTTGTTATTTCTGCTTGATTATTACAAATGTAAATATTTTACAATATAATTATATGGCCAGTAACTACGGTATGCTGTATTAAAAGTAGTTTTGTTTGATAATTTTAACGTTTAATTAAAATTTAATGAATTCCAAGACATTCAGGAAGTATTTTAAACAAACAGATTGTTTTAAACGTTAATATAATTTCTGAAATTGCAGTTTACGTTAGTAAATGCAAATTTTTGTAAAAAACTTGTGAATTTTTTATTAATTAACAACTTTTTTGAGTAAATGTTTGCTTAGCAGAAACTCATTTTTAAAAAATCAAAAATGTAAATTTGGGTTAATTGATTGTTCCCGTTTCCTTTGTAAGTGTAAGCGTCTAGTTGAAAAAGCTACTCAATCATGAAAAAGAATAATAAATACTTATCACTAACACAATGTCCATAAATACTAATCTCATATAGAACACAAATAAACAGAGCAAAAAATCAAGGATAATATAATTTGTCTTTTCCGTAATTTTTGTAATTTTTTTGAAAATAATATACGGTGTGTAAACTTTTACGAGGCATTAAAACAATCTAGGTTGCTTGAGTAAAATAAATGAAAAGAAAGATGTTTACTTCAACTCAAAATAATTTATTAGAGCATAAAAGATATATTACAATAATGTATCTTTCATATTACAAACAACTAAAATATAAATGTAATGTACATTACAACAAAGACATCAGAACCTTGATACTTTTACATAAATTACTTCCCGACCAAGGGATGCAATGACATATTTCCCGTTTCCCGATCTATAAAAGGTTACAATCAGTAAGATTGTGAATAAACTAATTATGTATTATCATCACACAAGATTTTTTTAATAACGTTACCTATTTGAGAAAATTAAACCTAACTGCAGTTGTAGCAGAATTAAAAAAAAAAACACTACCTGATTGTTAGTGCATTTTAATGATGTTATAAACTTTACGTCTTACTTTATCGTCGTTAAACTAATTATAACGTAATGAATATACATCGTCCCGGAATTTAACTGTTCCTTGTTATAATATCTTCAAATCTTGTGATAAATCTGACCAATCCCAGAATGATTCAGAAAACCGGCACGCCGAAAGAATGCAATTAGAATTTGCAATCGGTTATTTTTATCCGTTTCGAATAAAACTCGGTAAAATTGAAAAGTAATTTGTAACCATCACGAGCGTCTCGATGTAAACCAGAGTCCCTTTTCCTGGTATGTAAATAACTCCATTTCGAGTGTGTTGAGAACCCGATGTGAATACTTAGTGGTAACAATTACACAGTTCCCAGGTAACTGAAGAGACCTCCAACAATAGAATCCAAGGGGCGGATCACCTGTCAGAGTTGAGCCTATCGCGGTCCTTTGTGAATTAAAATATATAGTGGTGTAAACGTTGATGACATAGAAAAAACATACGAAATAAAAAGGAGAACGTCGAGCATCTTAAAAGTCTAATTACAAGAGGCAGGCCCAACAAGTTCAGCTTTTTACGTTTGGAAAATTGAAAGAATTGTCACTGAGATCTCCCAAATCTTGATAAACGGCCCGTTTGTTATAGTCACACAAACATTTATTCACTCCACGTGGGAGGAAACATTTGGAACCGATTCAAAACTGTTCATTTTCGAAATTCGAATTATTTAACAAACGCTTAACTCGTTTATTATTTTATCATAACTGGAATTTTCGCACACTTGGGCAAAAATAAATCGGGACCCCACTAGATAGAAATGTTAAAATTAGTCGCGTGTTGATGCTTTCACATCCACATCCATACAATTATGATTATTTATACCAATTGAATAAACAATCACGAGATTAAAGGAAAAACCTCCGACAACCTTCAAACATTTTTGTTTAGAATAGCGCAAGACGTAAAGCTACCCCTTGAGCAAAGGCGGGGCGAAACGGGGCGCATCCCTTTAGTTCCATCCCTCAAAGACATCACCCCAGGATTTTCAACAGGAGAGCAGAAGCCACTGGAGGATTAGGGGTTGAAGCAACAGGTGGTCGAAACAAACAACCCCAAAGCCACCAAATAATCACCACCCACTCTTATATTTACCCCAAGCATTCTAGTACAACTAGTAGTAATAAAATTTTGATTAAAACTAGTCTAACAATAATTACTCAATTAAAAAAATTAGAAGTATTTAAATATCAATTGGCTACGCAACCAACAATACAACCGTTGTTTTTTGTGTATTGCATAATACGTAGATGGCGCTCTTAAACAAAATAAAAAATGAGAGTTTGACACCTGTCAACAGTTTCAAATTATTGTTATTTTTACTGTTGTTTCGCAAAATTTAAACATAGTATTACTCGTAGTGTCCTCAAAAATTGCTATTTTGTGTCTTTCCGGGGTGTGTGAGCCCCTACTTTTAGGTTAGATGTGTGCTAACTTGACCAGTTTTGCTTGTTGGTCGGCAGTAGAACCCCCTGAAAATCCTCTCCCGAGTTACCCTATCCTGCCTGATAGCCCTAAAAGTAAGTTCCTTCGCCAGTCGATGTTTTTCTTTAAACAGGAGTTTTTTCCTGAAAAGTCTGATGAGGCCCCCTCTGAGGTGAAAGTGAAAGCGCGGCCCTATTCGTGTGACGAGTGCGGTAAATCGTTTCTTTTGAAACACCACTTGACTACACATGCGAGGACTCATACGGGGCTTCGCCCCCATGTTTGTAGCCATTGCGGGAAGAGTTTTACTCATAAACATTGTCTTAATACTCATTTGTTGTTGCATTCGAGTGAGAGGCCGTTTCAGTGCGTAGAGTGCAAGAAAAGTTTCACTTTGAAGCACCATTTGATAACGCATACGAAGGTGAGTAAAGGGGGTCGGGTTTTGGAGTCTTAAACCCTGGTTTTAGGTGCACAGTCGCGAAAAACCCTACATTTGCACGGAATGTGGGCAGGCTTTCCCTGTGAAAAGGCATTTGACAACTCATAGTAAGTTCCACGCAGGGGAGAGGCCCTACATTTGTGAGGATTGTGGCGAGTCTTTTGCCCAAAAAGACCACTTGGTAGGTGCCCCCCATTGAGCTGAGTTTTTTTTAACAGTGTTTTGCAGGTCATGCATTCGCGTTTTCACGGATCGCTCAATTCGTTTGTTTGCAGCGACTGTGGGGCCACTTTCACCCGAAAATTCGAGCTGGTCAACCACGGGAGACTCCACGGCAAGCAGCCCCACAGTTGTGTCATTTGCAATAAAGAATTTTTCCAAAAACGTACTCTTATAGCGCATATGAAGTGTCATAGTAACGGTTTTCCATTTTCTTGTTCGCATTGTGGTGAAACGTTTCAATCAAAATGTAATTTATTAACACATTTTAAATCAAACCATTCTCAATCACAAGGCAAACAAATGTGTAACGATTGTGGTTGCTTATTTAACACTTCTGAAGCCTTGGCGTTGCATGTGAAGCTTCACTCTGGAGGCGATTTATGTGTCTTGAAAAGTTTTTCAGTACAAAACTCGAATAATTCAAAAAGTTATGTTTGTCAGCATTGTAACAAAGGCTACAGTGCCAAACATGGGTTACAGCAACATAGCAAAAAACACCCAGATGGTAGCTGTGCCTTAAGGTCGCATATTTGTAACGTTTGTAACAAAGGTTTTTTCCAAAAGAATCACTTATTGTTACATCAGCGCCAACATATGTCAAAAACTGAAAAACTGTAATTCTGTGATTGTCTCACCTAACATGTTGCTGTGTTTTTATACTTTAATTTATTAATCGCCTGTGTAGTTATTAATTATTATTTATGTAAACTAGACTTTAGTAAGAGCGATACCTAATTTAAACAACAAACTGTTTGTCTTATCTACGAAATAAACAATAAACAGAATTAAGAGTATTTTCAGGACCGGACTTGTTCTAACTAGGAAAAACAATGTTTAACAACATTAAGGAAGCATTAAAATTGCGTCTAATTAACTCGCAGTGTTAACATTCAGGTCAGGTAATTGCGGTGAAAAAGCATACAAAGTACAAGTCGTAGTTGATTTACATAAATTTAACATTTTTACCTTGAATTTAATTACCAGCTTGTTTTTGGCCAAACACCGGTTTTATTTATTTGCGTAAACCGTTATTATATAATTGAGTTTAGTGAAATGTCTGCAAAAAATTATTCCTTGCGGAAAGAGAAATGTATTACTGGTTGCAGGACTATGAGATTAGAAGGGGGCGTAAAAATTACGCGATGGTGTAAGATTTGTTGTTTCAGGAAATTTGTTTTGTAAGATCAATATTTGTAAACTGTTACATTAGAATAACAACTTTCGTAACAACGTTTCAATTGAATCGAAACTTGGAAATTTATCTGAAAACATGAGTTGAATTCAAGTTTATTAGCGAATTTAAGGGAAGTTGGGTCAAGGAGCGTGAGAGGTCAGCGATTTTCATACTTTATTCATTTTGGGATCTCTAGTTGGACTAAAAGTAATGTTTCTCCTAAATTGAGTTTTTAAACAAAGTAAAAATTTTATTTGGATTAGATATTACCTACCTACTCTTTAAAACAAACTCAAGGAAACAATATTCTTAATTTTTTATGAAAATCTTTGAATGAAAACAAATATTAAAAAAACATTTTCTTAAATTCAGAAATCTAATAACATTTTTTGTTACGTGGTAGAATGGTAGAAATCACGTCAAAATATTTCTTTAGGTAGTCAAGTTGAGTTTAAGAAAAAATATTTAAAAAAAAAATATTTTCCTGTGACAAATAGCTATTGAGAAAATCGCTAATAAAACAAAAAAAAATCAAAATCCAAACTTTACTACAATTTCTTAAAAACAGGGTGCGCCAGAACTTGCGCTCCAGAGAAAAATGCCATGTAAAGTAAGATACCAGGAACGTGGAAAAAATGTTAAAGAAATTCTATCTACAAAAATTTTGAAGTTATGAAAGTTCAAATTTTGCACTTTGACTCTATTTATTCCTGTTGGAAAAATAATTTTCCAAGTTTTTTTGCTACAAGCTATTAGAAGAGGAAACAAGAAAGCTGTATTCTAAATTGTAATTCTTTTTAATATTATTTGTGGCTTTTATTGGCAAAATTTTTGTACCTTTACTAAATCATTATAAAAAAAATATAAACAAAATCATCAGTATCATTATTTAGACCACCGCCTCCTTAATCAAATGTATCAATATCCCGCCTGGGCATTTCGTAAAAAATGCATTGGAGCAGTGATTCCGATTTTTTCTTAGTTACGGGGGTTACTAAGGAAAAACTGAATAATTTCTAATTATTAACGAAAAATAACGCAATTAATAAATGCTGGGAAGGAAGGATACAACAAAACTAGATACGCCAGGGAGAATTGATATTATGAGATTGAACCCTTTAAGCTAAAAAACTGGATTTGTCAAAAAAATTTCCCCAGATTAAAGCGCCAACGGGAATCACTTGAACTCAAAAAATGCCCAGGCGAGAAAAGGATTATTTCTATGGAGACGGCGATGATTTAGACATTAAAAAATGGCAAAAAATAATTGTCAAAATTTTTTGACAGATAAAATTTTTTAAACATTTTTTTCATGTTCGTGACCTGAAAATTTTCTCTATATTAAAATAAAAAGCTGCAACTTGAATTTAGAGGAAGAATTTTACGATTCTATCTTATTTGTGTGGATAAAACCTGACTCACCAGTTATGTAGATCCTTTCGTAAAAAATAGCTGTTAGAGCTGTAAATAATAAATTTAGCCTTTTGAGTTCAGTGTGTAAGTTTTGTTTACAATAATTTTCCGTTTTTATAATGTTTATATACGAAATAGGTATTACTTCTCAATGTCACACTGTTCTATTTACTTTTTAACATTCAAATAATTTTTTAAATGCTGCAATAAAGTCGAACCTAAACAGGAAACTGTAAAGCAAGCAGGGCCTAAAAATGCGGCTCCGGTCCTGTTGCGGTGTTTTGATCAGCCGAAAGCCGACTAGATATCGAGATTAAAACAACATTAATAATCTGTCATTGTATAAATTAGTGTTTAATAACAATAAACACGCAGTGTAAAAATAAAATCCCGTTTGTTTGGATTGTTTATATTGCGCACTATCGATCCTAGCGCCCCCTTGTTATTAAACGGCGGTGCTCGAAACGAGTGATCTAGTGTGCGCCTGTCACTGCATCGCACTGACAGCTAGCAGTTCGAAAACATAAGCGTCGTATTTAGTGAATTATTGAGAAAAACTGGAAGTGATTCGTCTATTTTCAAGTGTCAACGTGTCATTCCTTTCATTTCACACACGCATGATTTCAAAAGTAAGTCAAAATCTTAATTTTCCGATCGCTTTCGATGATTTTCTTTGTTTGTGTGCAGCACAGAGGCTGCCATTTTACCCCATGCAGTTTATTTATTTTGGCCGTGAGCGCCCCCCGACGCCTCCAAGTGACCCCAACCGAGCTTTGTATATTTATTTTGAACGATTTATGCGATTTTACGTGCGATTTTCCCACCAAAAGCCCCAATTTCGCCCAACTCCGCCAGTCTCGCCTCCAGGTACGACACCCCCAAACCCCGTTTTCAAACCCCGAAAATTGTTTATTTTGCACATTTTAAACAAAGTAATTGTGGCCCCCCATTGATTGATCAGAGCTAGCTTTGCCAAGTCTTTGTTATGGCAGTCAGCTGTTTGTTTCACGCACCAGCTGCGCGATACGTCCTCGTGCTGTCTTGCTCCAACTCGGTGCGGTTTAGGCCACACGACCGGAAACGCACGTCTATGATTAACGGCATGTTTTGGTAGAGATCTGCGCATTTGAGTCGAAATCGTGCTGCCGAGGTGTTCAGGTCGGGTCTGCTTTTATGGGAGAGGAGATTTGAGGTAGATTGTTGACCTCAACTCGAACATGGACCACCGAACTTGGCTTTCTGTTCGGAAAACGGAAAACTCAGTTCAACAGTCGAGATGACACGATTCATTTTTTTTTTTTGAATAAAACTTAGTTTTTTCCGGTAAAATTGTAGGGGTCGAGTTCAGGGCTCCTTGAACGTTGCCATATACATATTTATGGTATTTTTAGATTTATTTTGTATGCGTGAGTTACACAGGTAATTATTATGATACTACTGAAATAAAAAGCAAACGGTTATTTTCAAGGTAAAACGTCTTTCACTTGTCTACAACTATTGTTTTTATAACATGAATATGGTGTGATTAAGTCCGGGAGCGTTTTTTTATGGCCCTTGTGAATAAATAATTGTTTTTCGATTGAATTGCAACAATTTTATTTTGTATCAAGTCGATTCCCATTCACTGTTTTTTGTTTCCAAGGGACAGCAGAGCTTTCTATTTTTATGCTGTTTGTTGAGAACGATGTAAATCGATTTGCATTTGTAGTGATTAAAAATTGAAAATGTTTTGTTCCGAATTAGCGAAATATACGTCGTTTTGTGTGTTGTTATTGGTAATTTTTTGTCTTGATAATTGCTGACGTCGTGTTTATTGACACTTTAATTGTAACGAAGTGTAAAAAAAATAAAACGCATTTGCATTAAGTTACTGATTACACATTATATTTATATATTTTTTTAAATTTAGTTTTGTAAATATATTCACTCTAAAGAAGGATGTAAAACCGTAAATGAATGTAAAGTCTGTTTTTTTTTTTTAAATGGAAATGCCAAACAATCTTAACGTTGGCACCCCTAATAAATTTATTCATGATAATTTTAATTTTAATAACAGAAGTTGGCAGTTCCGGTTTTTGATTTAGAAATGAAAACACAAAAACGGGGAAAAATCGGGTACCACAAACAATTTTTGGAAATTTGAAGACGGAAAGTGTTCAAATAGATGCAGGTTTGCTAAACATTCTCTAATTTTTAGTAAGAAATTGATGAGAATACAAAATAAACATCAAAAGAGAAAGAACGCAATTAAATTAGTAGGTCTGGATGCATCATTTTTGAAGAACGAGTTGAAAAAGTAACAATTTTTAAACTAAAGCTGAAGGAGAATTTATTCGATTATAAAGGTTTACAAAGAGCAAACAAGCACACAAGATTAATAAAAGTCAAAATTTCGACAACATGAAAACATAACGATAATTTTTGAACAAAATTTGTAAAACAAAAAAGAAGCAAAATTTGTGTCTATGGAGATAAGCTGCAACCAATTTTTTCACCAAAATTTTAACTTGGTAATTTCCATTTAAATGATTTAAAGAAAAAACACTTTAAAATTAACGCGGTTGCAAAATCGATAATTACAAAATTATTTTTTTTCCATTTGTAAAGCAATTTTAAGTTTGTATGACTCTTTTCAGAAAAAAGAACAACTCTGACAATGAACCTAATTGTGATTTTATTTTAGTTTTTAGGAATGCAAAATTTTTGAAGTTAAATTAATTTTCGGCATTGTTGTGAAATGAACGCTCCAAACCGGCATGTTTTTGATCGAAACGGTGAAATATTCGCCTTTGTTGTGTTATTTCGCGTCCTTTTATTCGAAAATAATGCAACAATGTTCAGGTTACATCTAACAATGTAGTTTGACAAAGTGATGTTTCGTCTCATAACGCTAGAGTAAATGTGATCGTTTTGTAAATGTTATTTATATTTGTTACAAGTTCCAACTGAGTCATAAGCGGTGGGTGGTTGATGAAAATACCTTACAATTAATAATTAAACAAGGTGAAATTAGATGGCAACAATTGTCGTATTTAGAAAAAATGCCGTTTTGTGTAGTTTGTTTTAGTGGCCGGACGCTGGTCTAGTTTTATTTTTGAATCTCCTTATTTTTAGTTATGTTTGTTTTATGTGGATTTTTGTAGAATTGTTGATTTTAAGTATATTTTCGGGATATAAAATCTTGAATTTTCCTTTTTGTTTGTTTCTGTAACGTTTGAAAAGCACAGGACGCAATTTATATTTCTTTCTTTTATTAAAACCTCAAATGTAAACAACATCATGAAATAAAATTTGATTCGATCAAGAGGGGAAGTTTTGTTTTTCTATTACGAACCAATCACGAAGTGTATTGACTTCCGGTTATCTCCCAAACGTCAATACTGACACTTGTTATTATTTTTGTTTGATTTAGTTCAGACGTGGAATTAAAGACGTACTTTTGTGATAAATTTTATCGGAGGAAAAATGCTCACGGAGGAGTTGTTCCGAATAAATTTCAAACTCACGTGAAGATTTCGCGTTAATTAGGAAGCTCTAAACACTTGTATATCAAGAAACTCGACGAAAGTGTCGTTCTTTATTCAAGGAAACTCTCCGCTTTTCCCAGTTAATTCTACGTGTCATCTAAAATTGTAAATCTCTTCTCAAAGTTATTCAATCTCGATCACCTAAATTAGAAAACTTGAAAAGATCACACTATGCATACCAAATTTTTGTAATGAATAATAAAAAACGTTTTATTAATAAATTCGAATCTGTCGATCGAAAAGAAGGCCAATAAACCATCGATTAGTAAAATATCGAACTCACAAGGACGAAAATAGAAAAACAATTCGCATAAAAATATAAAGACGATGACCTGATAAGGTGATAACGAGCCTCGTGTCTATATTTATTATTTAGATGAGGATTTCGGTAAATGGCGCAGTATTTTCGTACTGCTCGTTAGAGGCGAAGTTAATTTTTCCGGGAGTTTTCCGCTTTTCGGGAAAAGCCTTGACGGTATTGATGTTTTAATTGGCGGATTAAGGGGTGACTCGTGTCATTTTCTTGATAGTTTAATCATTTCTTCGTAGGGATCGACCGATGCTTAGAATTTACATTGTCTTGATAAAAATGGTGATAAATGAGATAAACAGGTTTATTGTCTGTAAAGTTAACAAATGAAGCAATAAAAATTAAAAATATTAAAATTGCGTCAAGCTCATACGTCGTACTTGTTTTTTCATGACTTTCACTAGGATTTCAAGTTTCATAAATGTTAGTTAAAACGTAAAAGGCTCTCTTTGTCGTAATAAATTATATTTTCTAGAACATTAGATCACTCTTTTTATGCTTCTTCGGCATTATACCGCCGCCGTTACTAACAAAGAACCCAGCTAAGCATCTATTATGTTTACATTTTTGCACCTATTTCACACATTACGCAAACCCATTCGAAAGTCTGATGGAAACAAAGAATGAATCGTAAAGTCTCCATTTATTAATAGAACTAAATCGCATTACGTGAAATTTATAGACTTGATTTTATCGCAATGTAGCTGTTGGCCCGTTAATTACATTTGAAAAACTCGTAATCATTAAACATTCTAAGATATTTCTTTTTTCAGGACATTATTAAGTTATGAATGATGGTTTTGCATGCTATAATACATAAAAAAAGTACACCACTTCAGTTTCGGGCCATAATCCGGATATTTCAGCACACATCTCTTTGTGTTTTAACTTATGTACTTTTATTTTCATTATCTGGCGACTTTTACGACAAAAAATGCGATAAATGTTGATATTTTCTTCTTCACACACTATTCCCATTCCCTCGCTTTTCCTGAAAAGTCCAAGCAACAAACTTCATAAATTTTACAAATTGTAATTCTGGACGACAATATCTGTTATGCAGATGTCATTCATGTTGTTGCAACTTGCATCAGGTTCCCGGAATTTGATATTTCCCTTGGCTGGAGAAATATCTCGGTTTTGGTTGCACAATTAACAGAAAATAAAAAAAGTTTCACGTAGGTTGCGAGAATAAATTTTGCGGTCGATGCCGTTGCCTAATTAATAGTTTTTGAGATCTTGAATAATAAATGTATAGGAATAGAGGAATAGGGCAGTTGTAACAAAAATCTTTTTTTTTTAATCTTAAAATCTGATATCTACCTACAATATGTATGATTAACCCAGGACCTAGGACTCATATAGTTTTCGAGTTGAAATTTATTGGATAAATTCGATTAATTAAACCGAATCTTTGAGTGAAATATGTACAAAAAAGCCATTTTTATTAAATTTTTTCTTTTTTTTTTTGTTTTTTCAATTTCGGCTAGAGTTGAGTTTTCAAATACGCGACCTGTAGATACCTCTTTACTCGAAAAATAGAAATTTTTTAAATCAGATCAACGTTTTTTGCACTTTTAGGAGTTCAAAAGACTCAGAAAACGTTATTGTGTCGTGTTTGAAAAATGACGAATTTCTTGAGTTTTTGAATTAGTAAATCTTAAAAGTGATCGACCAACGTTAATTAAGTCGCAAAGACGCTTAAAATATGGTCTTCTAGACGTAAATTAACGAACTGAACACGATGCAGTAGTATAAAATAATAATCTACGGTTAAAATTAAAAAAAATTCCCAGCAAAAAGTAGAAATTTCTGGTGTTTTTCTAGTGAGTATTTAGAATTTGATGTTACTAGGACTCGATGACCTTGGCATTGAAACTTATCGAAATCGATAAATAATATTGGTGAATGAAATGTGAGGCTCATTGTTTACGAATTTAGGACAGGACTGGGTTTATTTTTGGTCAATAATAACCACAGTTCACAATGAGCGAAATCAAATGGTCTTGAAACTAAAGGGTTATGTTATTGGTTCTATCATTAAATTGACATTTTTGAGACTTATTAGATTATTTTAATGTTATTAGGACAGTTTACTATTTAAATCGTGCCATTAGAGATAAATTTCAACAAGTTAGTGGACGCGTAAAATAATTAGAAAAATGTCCTAGAAAAAAATATTTTTTTGCCTTTTCTCTTCGTAAATAACACGATACAATGACAAAGTAACTGGGACATAACATGTTAAAATTTCTTGTGTTGTTTTACCAGAAATCAGATGAAAACACATTGCCTGACAACCGACAGTTAAACATATTTTTTTTATTTTTTAACTTTCTAATAGCTATTTATGTATCAAGTATGCAAAATAGGGTTTTAGGATGAGAGGAGTAAAACCTAAAACCTTTTGCGTACGTGGTACATACAAGATTTTTTTGTTAAAGCTCCCAAAACACGAATTCACACCTCTTACTAATTAAAAAAATTTCGTTACCATAGTAACCAATTTAATTTTTTAGTCCGCAAAAACTGTTTTTGGGGACTGAGTACCTAAAATAACCGTTTTGAGTTCGGAAAAGACTCATTTTAGGGACTCAAATGAGTTCCTAAAACAGCTGTTTTCGGGAGCGTATACAAAAAAATTATTTTTCTGTATATGGTGATCGATCGGGTAGTAGTGCGTCAGTGAAAATTTACAATGATTAAAACACAGTATTTACATTTTTATGAAGTTTTTTTTGCACATTTGCAACTAAATTCAATAAAATTTAAATTTAAATGGAACACAAAAAGTGAGTTTTGTCAAACAAAACATTCACCTTTAGCCGTCCAAAAATCCGTTATTTTGAGGCAACGTCCTCAAAGAATCCGTAGTTTCGGTAAATTTCCCTGTTCTGTGTATAAACTAATTACGTGATGTAATCGGAATTAAAATGTCATTAAATAATTGTAGTCAACGTTTTCGTGTCGTCTATTATTTTAAGGCTTTTTGTTGAAGTTGTAATTTGTTTCGTTAGCGATCGTCGTGTAAAACTCTTAGAAACTCGAACGAAATTCATTTAAAATTCACCCGGAGGAAATTTAATAGTTCAAATTAACAAAATCGTTTTTTCCCGGAAATTCTTGCCAAATATTTAAGTAAAAGGGGAGTTCTATTCGCCGGATTCTTCCGGACGTGCCAAATTACCGGGTCGCAGACCTTACCGAAAAGACGCAGTTCTGGTACCGTTATCGCCGGTCAATCACACGTACAATTAACACTAGCGATGACAAATCGATGCTATTTTCTAACCCACATGGCCCATCCAAAATAATTCGAATCGTTACGAAAATAACAAGGAAATGGTGCCAAAATAATGTTTACGTCGTTATGCTTCTCTGTTTGTAAACGTTTTACGGTTATGTAACGACTTTTTGAATTTTTCTGCAAGGGTATGTTGTATTGAGTCGAGTCTCCCGTGCAAAAAAGTCATTATCACTTTCATTGCCGCCGGTTTTAACACATTAAAACCCTCATTAACATAAATCAATTTTAATGTTGTCTACGGGGCAGAGAAGGTCGTTTTATGCACTCGAAATGTCGGTGTTGTTGATTTTTTTCCGTTTTAATTTGACAGAGGAAACAGGAATACAACTCAGAAACGAGGTGATTTTATTACATTTAATTGATTATTGTCTGTCAGGCGATACAAAACGTTGCTCTTAGTGGAATTTTTTATCTAATATTATTTATAGTTTTATTGTTAACCTAGGGTTAAGTCATTTACTTCCGAAATAAATAAGATATGATTTTTTTTTTGTTGTAATCTCTTGTAAGTTTCCTTATAAACAAAGAAATGTGGTTTTGTGACAGTCTAGGTGATAAAAAATATTTATCTTGTTGTTTAATCACTAATCAGCACTTGTGTTTCCGTCTGTCTCAAAATTGGGTTGATTTTTATCTCTCGCTCTCGTAACTGCGCATTTATAGGTTTATTTGTTCCATTGAGAAGTTTTCAATTTTTGTCATTGAACAATTTGCCCGTTTCCCAGTTTCGTATTAACTTTAATCAGATATCGAATGTAAGTGAGTTCGGTATTGTTTGAACGAACAAGATTAAAAGGACAAGCAAACTACCATTCCCAAGTATGTATTATTTCCGGGAAAAATCCGACTTTCTCGAATAAATTAAAAGGGAATTTCGTCGTATTTGGTTTGCTTGAAACATCTCGCTCCTGTGGTCAGTCGCACGTTTCAAATTGAATCTTTCGAGTTAGTCGAGGCGTTAAATGTGAGGCTGTTTTTTTTATTATTTTGTGAGTGAATTACGGATCATTGTCTCGAAGCGGGGCCTCGTATTGATGGATGACGATACAAGTTCAAGGTTCTCATCTAAAGAGCAGCTGACGACGGCTTGTATTGTCCGGATTTGTCAAGATTCCTGGTGGTGGGTCTAGACAGCAACTTGAGAGACCTTCCGGCTGGTAAAAAGACGAGTGGGCGAAATTGCACGAAACAACAAAGCAGACAAAAATAATTGCGAGTTTTTTTTTAATTAAATTATAGGGGAAATTTGACCACAGGAAAGGATAACATTTATACCTAGAACCTAAATTACTTACTACAGTAAAAGTAGACAGTAAAAGAAGCAAAATTGATGTTTTAGGTTGTGTTATAATTATTGATTTCTCAAGGAAATAAAGTATTTGCATTAGTCATTTCTAATGGTTGATGTTTATTTACTGGCCATGCTTTTACCAACCTCTCTAAAAAAGAGGCGTTTTTAGATTTAGCGAATTTGGAAAATCAAGGAGACAATTTTTTCCCATGGCCATGAAGTAATTTGTTTCTTACTTTAGAAACTTCTGTCTGAAATTATCTTTAACCTTACATTGAATGTATTGACCTGTGGACAATTTTTCTTTTTTTATTCAAATAACTGTAAAATAGTATAAAAAACTAAACAAAGTCACTGAAATTCGCCACCGGAAACACGAATCTCAATTTAAACTGGACTTTTTCGTGTTTTGAAGGCCGGAAAATTGGGATTTTAATAGGGTTTTAGAGTGAAACTGTCGATTATTTCGTCTGAACGACAGTAATTGGAGGGAAAGAACACCTGTGGAACGTTGAAAAAATGACAACCAGACGATGCCATACCTTGTGATAAACTACGTTTTCCTTTTCCCATTTCCGTATCTTTATAGTGTCTGGGATGCTTCACATCCAGATGTTTATGTTTGTAAAGATTTCCCGGCGCCTCCGCCATCTTTCATGCAAGGGTGCATAACCGTAGTTTTAAAACACTCGAAAGGATGCTATAATGAGTTATTTTTTATTTTGTTGATCGTTGACTTGTGTTCAACACAAATCCATCTAAGTTTAGTTTTGGCAATAGTTCCGATCGTTGACCTTGACGCGAATACTTCTACTTTAAAATACACATCATCGTCGGTGTGTTACCAATATTTTTGTTGCACTAGCTCAAAATACTCATCGGCGGCTAATAAAATCGACCTAATTAACACACTGTAAACTTGCAAAAATGTATTTTAAGAAGTGCATCCCGATTTTATTAATAGGAATGATTCTACATGAATGTTGGCAGCTCCCATTAATGAAAAATTTTATAGCGAAACTGGTACAAGTTAAATTGCTGTAAATAAGTTCATAAATTGATTCTTTTGTTATTGAATTGATCGTAAGCCACTTGTCTGGGATATTCCCTTGATTCATATTCAAATTGTACATTGTCTGCGCTGAAACTAATGTGGAGAATCGAAATCAGATTGTAATAAAATAACACACGACATGTCTGGTTGTAAGTTGTTGGTTTTCATTGGCTAGTTCACTGACCATCGATCAAGTTCTTTTTTCTTTGATAATGAGATTAGGAAAGGTAAAGAATAAATTTGGAGTCATTACGGTAATCACATGGGAGCAACACAGAAAGAATGGTTATTTGAAAACAGTTTTAATTGATTTAAAGTCTAGACTGAAATAGTTTTTTTGTTTGTTTGTTATATTGGTTCAAAGTCATCAATCCTGACCAAATCAGTTTTTCAAATTCTTGGATCACCTCCAAGAATGTTGCTTTCGATGTCGCAATGATTTTCACCTTTGAGAAATTTAAAAAAGCCGCCTAAACGACCCCAATTGCGACTCCACGAATTTGCAACCAACCAATAATCAGTACCGTTTTCACTACCCCAACCTAGAATTTTAACAGAATGGCGACCGGAAACGTTACCTAAGACATGTTGGTAAACACCTACAACGTAATAATTGTGATTAAAATAGATCAAAGTGTGGTGAAGTACCATTTTGATAACTGTAAAAGTCATCATATACGACATAACTAGCTTGGACTGGACCACTGGTCATAATTTCGACTTGAATTTGTTTGGTATTTTGAGAAATTCGGTAATTGTTAGCTCCGTAACGTTTATCCTCACTGTAATTTGTTTTGTAATCGGGATTTGAACAAAAATTTGAGCAGTTTGGTGTGGTACTATCCTTGAAAGCTTGTACAGAATAAGGATGACAACCCTTAAAAATTTGCTTACTTTTTTTCTTAAAATTGAGATAAACACTCACCTGACTCGAATTGTAGTCTCCTCCTGATACAATTCCGTTACTAACCCAATATTTCCAAGCTCGACTCGAATACCCACCCCCACACCCATTCCCACATTCCGTACAACACGCTAAAAGGTCCTGGGCTGAAAATTCGAATTTCATGGTTGCATTTGAAGCGATACAAAGTCTATCACTCATTGTTTCAACAGCTCCAAATGCCTGAAAAAAAAAGGTAGTTGTTTTTTCACGGGATTTTATGGTAGTACCCAGCAGGAGCCACAGGAACCTTGATTTCTGATCCTGCGAAGCGATTCACATCGAGGCCAGGCTAACCTGGCATCGAAATTTTCAGGGATTTTTTCAGGAATTTCATGATTTTTGGTTTCTATGTCGTTGTAGAGAGCGGGATCGTCTCGAGCACCATTGAGACTTTTCAAGTGGGAATGTGGGGTGTTGGGTGAGAAGTTGGGTCCAGCGAACCATGATGGGTGTTTTTGGTTGATCGCGTCGATGAATTTTTGCGACAGGATTGGGGTTTTGGGGGTACAGTTTGGGATGAGGAAAAACAGTAACACCACTAGTCGTAACTTCATTTTGACGTATGGTTTTTAGAAATGGTTTTGCAATATTTATACATATACCAAAGACTTTTTTTGGCTTGTGGTCGGGCCTTGAGTTAAATAAAAGAAAACAATGGTTGATTCTTATTTATTATCAAAGGTTACACTTGAGGGGTGCCTCCATAAATGTAATTTTCAATTTTGCAATGATTTTTGCCTCTTAGAATTTTGTAAAAACCGTCCAGGTCAGCCCATCCCGCCCCCCATGAATTGGCGATTAACCAATAGGGTACCCCATTTTCAGTACCCCAGCCTACAATTTTGACAGCGTGTCCTCCCATACTTGCCCCTGATACATGTTGATATACCCCAGATTTATAAGAATAGAAATCCTGGTATACATCCATATGGGTTACGACTGGACCGTTGTTCAAAATTTCAGTTTGTATATCTTGAACATTTTTATTAGTCAAGTAGAAATAATCAGTACCATAATGCTTATCATTGTTATAAGCAGTTTGGTAGTTGGTATTCAAACATTTAGTTGAACATTTTGGTGTCACAGAATTTAAGTAAGCACTTCCTTCATATGGTTGGCAACCCTGGAAAATTTTTTGCAAAGTGTGTTTGGCTCATATGAATCATACTTTATTTGATTTATAGTCTCCTCCTGAAACTATTCCTTTAGCAACCCAATATTCAAATGCTTTTAAAGGAGCTCCTCCATCGCAGCCTGTGCCACAAGTAGTACAACAGGCCAGAAGGTCATCGGCAGAAAATTCAAATTTTTTTGCCCCGTTACTGGCGATGCAAAGCCGATCTGTCATCACTTCAACAGACCCAAAAGCCTTCAAACATCTAAAAGTCAAACATTCTGCAACTTTTGATCAAACTTACCCAACAAGAACCGCAACGTCCTTGATCTCGGATACTCTTAAGAGACGGACATTGACTCCAATGTGTTCTACCATCAAAAGTTTCTGGAATTGCTTCCGGGATTACGTTGATAACATGTGTTTGGGTTTTGTTGAGAAGTTCGGGACTTATAAGGGCTCCATTTAGACGTTTCAGGTATTCTATGGGTGTGTCTTCAGGGAAGTTGCGTCCAGCGATCCATGTTGATTGTTTTGCGTTGATCGAATTAATAAATTCATCAGAAAGTATAGGGTTTTTTGCAAAAGTGCAAGTTAGACCCAAAAGGAGTACAAAACAGGGCTTCATTTTGACATCATACTGATTACGTTACATAAAATTGGATTATTTATAGGTACCAGATAAAAATCTCAAGTCGGTTTTTATCAAAAAAAATTTTGATTTTATTATGGAAAATTGGACAATTTATAGAAACAGATAAACATTTCAAGTGGTTGTTTACCAAATTAAATTTTGCGATTATTTTCATCAATTTTTGAGGGCGCCCGGCGCCTCCACCAATTCGTGGTTTCGTTTTTTATTCAAGACAAACGTTCCTTGAATAATAAACGTATTCGAAAATTGAGATCAATGTATGTGGTCGATCACGCGAAGCGTTTTATTCCATTATGCAATTTTAAGTTGAAGGACGTTCTATCACCATGTGAAGGTATATTTTTGGTTGATTCCTTTTAATTCGACACGTCTAATGTTAATTTACCGTGGAACGTCACTCAACTTGTTACCAACGCATTTCTGTGAGATCAATTATCCGTCGAGGGAAATTAGTAATTAAGTAAATGTGTTCGACAGAGTGTAAATTAATTCGTTGCCTATACTAAATACACTTTTAACCGTTTTTAGATTGACACGTTTTGGGATAATAAAGAGTCGAATTTAACCCAGTTTTCTGATCCCTGATTTTATCATGAGAAAATTAAGGTTGATTAATTTTTTATCGGTTTTGGAGTATTCTGTTTACTTAAATTGGTTTTTAATTCTAATCAATGTTTAAATATCGCGATTACACATGTTTCAAATTGTGAAATTATTCACCTCGACCTGACTTGAACCTTTCCATCAAATTTACATTTTCCTTGCATCTTGTATCAAATTGTTAATTAACTTAAATGAAACGTAGCAATTTCCAGTGAATTGTTAATATAACATGTCAGTCAAACTTAAACAAATTTGATTTTTTTACAATTTTCTGCAGTGTGCAACAGAAAAGTTTCAATTACTTATTTATAAAATTTACAAGTCGATAGTTATGGATTGTCATGTGACCTCAACCTTCGTATTGATGGTCGCCAACCCGGCGCATCCACCATTTTTTATAATTAGAATCAATGCCATGAGTTGTGTTTGGACTTATTTTATCAAAGGACGTCAAAATAATCTGTTTGGAGAGTGATTTATAAAATTACTGATAATTTTATTTCTTCTAGCATATGTTGTTTCATTGGTAAACTTTGAACTTAAAGTTACGAAAGTTTTAAGTCAAAATTCGCAAAATTAACAAATATTTGTATGCAAACTGAAATTTTTCGACCTTGTTGCTCGACAATCGTTGGTCAGCGACCTTGACTAAAATAGTAATGGCTAATTACGCCTTGTTTGTTTTGTTGAATCAGCTGATCGTATCACAGATGTTTCAAATTTGTGATTTTCCATAATAAAAAAGCCGACGTTTTCGTTTTTCGCGTCTGGCTCAAACTCTTGTCTAACATTAAATTATCAAGTCTCGACTCTCAACGATCGATATTATATAAACAGACACTAGTTGCTCCCGGAGACATTCTTTTCCATTTTTTTGTATTAATTTTCAGGCTGAAATTTCAGGAATTTGTGTGAGAGATCGTGAAATGTGAATTCAGTTTGGACGTTTGGATCAGGAAGTTGTGTCGTGTCTTTGGGGCTGAATAGCATATTTAGATAAAAGATGGGACTTGTGATATTAGGACTCGTAAATTGTAAAGTTACGAGTTATGTCGAAACTCGAGTATTTAAAGTCTTATCTATTGATTTTCAAATGTTTAAGTTGTGTTTCGTTGTTTAACTCGACATTGGAGAGATTAAAGTGGATCTCAAGGTTGGTTTTGTTTGTTAAATGTAAAAAAAAGATATTTCTATTGTTTCATGTCATTAAATTTGAACGGAAAAAATGTGAAAAAGTCTTTGTTTTCGTCCTTGTGGTGGTGTCCTCGCGTGACGTCGACTTACGAAAGTCCCGGTGTCACTAACTTGCACGTCCTTGAACTTCCGTTTCCGTCAAATTATTGGTCCGAAATGTGTGAACGACCCGTTTCGTAGCCCGCTCTATAATTTTTTTCTTCTTCCGTGTGAGTTTGCCGACCTTATTAAATAACGTAAGAAGTTCACGGTTTTCGGAACATGAATAAAATATTCTCGTTCGACGAAAATAGCCAAGATACGGTCCTGGAAATTTTCAACGGAATTTATTGGAACGTTTCTTTCACTCAATTGCTTTGTTTGAATGCGCTTTACCTAACTTATGTTGTTTTCGATCACTTTTTCTTTTCGTTTTTGCTTTCACCCAATTTTCTTTCTTATTGATTGTGCGTTCTAACATTCAGATATTACAGGTTGTTTTGGGCCTAGCATCATGCGGTAATGTTTGTAAAGGGTAGGTAGAATCTAATTAAGTTTTCTGTTATTTTTTTCTCACAAGTTTAAACATTTATTTTTATGTATTTGGACACGTAATAAACTTCAAAGTGTGTGTGTGTGTGTGGTTCATAAAATCGTTTATTTTCCTAAGCCGATGTGGGTTTTAAATTCTAAAATTTAGAGTCTCGAGAGATGAATAAACAGTTTTTCTATTTCTTTTATTTATTTTTTGATAATTTTGTTATTTCACAATCTATATTCTTTTGTGGTAATCGAGTTGATTGTTATTCAAAAGAACGTTCAACGATTCGAATTAATAATAAATTTTCATTTGATTCGTGTTTGAAATGTCTAGAAGGAAATTTTTTCTTTTTTTTTTTCTCCAACGTCTATAAATTCCGATCACCTAGAGCCAGACTTAGAAGAATGAATGTAATAAAGGATTTATGACGTCGAGGGTGGACAAATACATTCATAAAAATGGCGATAAAAATGAGCTGTTCGGATTCCGGGTCAGCAGGGAAAAATCAGACATTTTTCCCCGAATCAAATTCAAAAAACATGGAAAAAATTACTTCATTAAACCCTATTAAGACTCGACCCACAACAAGGTTAAATAACGGGTGACTTGTTGACATTTGGCATAAATGTGCAGCTGCAAGACTTGCGAGTGCATTAACACAGTCTCGCCCGCCAAAATCCGGGTCCCAAGCATCCCGTTTCCGGTCACAGATAACATCAAAGTTTCTTTGTCTCCTCACCTTGGAACGTGACTGTAATAGAAGAAGTCGCGGTCATTACAGGGAGCATCGTCCTGAAAAAAAAAATCATTTAATTATCATTGCATTTTACATCGGGGATTGGGAGAGACGCCCTCGAATTAATTAAATGAGTTTAATTGATCGCGAGGTTGGTTGAAAAGTTTTTTTCCTAGTTAAGCCACGTCTAGACACGTCTGTCGATGGATTAGCGGAAAGATTGAATTATTCAAAAGACGTGTGCCCTTTTAAATGTCATTAAGTAACGCACGGAAATCAAATGGATTGAGAGGTGGATCGATGGTAGGTGAACATGGGTGACTTGTACCGAAGAGGGTATTAGTGTTATTAAGAAAAAACAGGGAAATTCGTTGGAAAATCTTAGAATTTTTCCAAGTTTCATGAGGAATTTTAAACTTTCTGAACTTACCTTTCAAACCGATGTGGCAATAATAATTTTTCTTGCAGATTCTAATGGAAATTCTGTGGGATTTTTGCAAATTTTTTTGGAATTTGTTGAGATGGGAGTTTCAAAGAATTCTACGTAATTATGTATTGGTATTGTGAGGATCTTCTCGGACTTTTGTTACCGTTCTTTGGTCACGTTTATGTTTTTGGGTTTTTAAAAACATACTGTAGTCAAGTTTTCTGAAAATTTTGTAGGATGTCTTGTTAAAATTAAGGTTTGTGTGATTTAATCCTTTTGTGCCATTTTGGAACAAATGCCAGGATGTCGAGTTTTTTTAAGGGTCAGAAATTAATATTTAGGTGAACACACTTTCTTTATTAGTAACATTCAGGTTTTTGTATTTTCTGTTTATTTTTGCGATTTTTTTCAAATTTGGAACCATTATATTATTCTTTTGAGTTTTTTAGTTAAAAATTTTTGAAAATTGATCCTTCTTAAAGTGAAAAATAAAAATTCGAAATTAAAATTCATTATACTTTATTGAAGCGACTTAATTTTTGTGTTTTCTGGGTTCTTAGGAAGATACAGATTTAATGTTTTGTGAAAATTTTTACGATGTAAACAGCTTATGATTTTTAAGAGAATTTTTTGAGCTTTCGAAAGGAGAAACAATCCTTGAACAAAATTTGTCTTTTTTCACGTTTTCTGAAAAGTTTTAGGATTTACGTATGTGGTTATTTTAATTTCATGAAAATTTCTCTTTAACTTTTTCTATTTTTCTTTTTAAAATGTGGGAGAAAGTCAGAATTTGGTTGATTTTGCAGGTGTGACAGCTCCGCATGGCCTGCCGTCGCAGCCAGCAACAGCAGCAGCACCACCGCCGCCACAAGCAGCAGCAACAGCACCATGGTGAAGACGTTCCAGGCCTACCTGCCACAATGCCACCGCACCTACTCGTGCATCCACTGTCGGGCCCATCTCGCCAATCACGACGAGCTCATCTCAAAGGTTACACACATTAATTTTTTTCTCGATTTGATGTTGGCACTAATTATGGGTTTGCAAACAAAGAACGCCCGATTCCAAGGACTCGTACATTGAACCAAAACTTTTCGGAGATTGATTTTCTTTCTTTCGTTTGTCGTCGAAGCAAATTGTTTTGCCCTGGCTGTCGGCCAGGTGTATACGCAGAACAGTGCAAAATATTTTTGTTGTTTCGGAGAAACTCATGAATGGGAACAAAACAGGTCAAGTTGAGAGAAAAATTCATATTCTACGACTCGAAATTTTGTTTTTCGTGTCCGAGAGTGTAAACAAAAATCCAAAATGTTTACCACGACATTGCCAAGAATATTTTCAGTGTTACTAGATTGATTCAATTCGTGTTATTGAATTTTCTACGTTTTCCAAATTGAAATATTTTGCTTCGTGTTCTTATTACTGCTATGTATGAATTACGGTCAACAAGAGTATTTTCGCTTCTCAAATTGCGTTGCTGCCAGCTATGTTTGCGATATTTTAAGTCAGCATTTCCTTGAGTAAAAATGCAAATTACATTGTAAATCAGATAAAATTCTTAGCTATTACACGGATAAGATTATGTGTGAAACTTTTCGAAATGTTGGTTTTCTTATTTATTGCACTGAAAGAAACCGTCAAAAATATTCATTAACGCTTTACATAATTATTTAATGAGGTCAATTGTTCTGTTACGATACGACTGTTTAAGTATTTTCCTTACATAACCCCACTATCTTTCTTATTTAAAGATTGATTAAAAGTTTAAACAAGCAAACAAGAAGGGTCGTTTATAAACCCCCTTGTTACGAAGAAAATCGAGTTTGTATACAAAGGATAAATCCGGGTTGGGTCTTGATAGAGTGGTAGCAGTGAAAAGTTTTAAGTTTTCGATTTCGATCATTTCGTTGCTTAAATTAACCATCACTGTTGCATTATTTTTACCCTATTTTTTTCGCTCGGTTTCTAATCGAATTATCTCGTTGAACGCACTCTTAATTCGGAATTAACCCCGATTTTGCTTTTACATAGTCCGGGAAAAACAACGTATTTACAACGTTAAATAATATGGGTTTTCTTTTGCAGTCATTCCAAGGCAGCCAAGGCCGGGCTTATTTGTTCAATTCAGTGTAAGTATTCATATTTGACAATACCTAAATTTTGTGCTTAAAACTCTAGAGCGGTAATTAATTTTGTTCCTCATAGTGGAATTGAAACGAAATCGAATTCTAGCGCTGCTATAGATAGTATTTAATTCGGGCTTGAGAGAAAAATTGTATTTTCAGTAATGAAAACAGGATTTTCTTGTATTTTATTTTGATTAATGTTGGCACAATCGTGTAACTATCGATTCGTTATTATCGTTTTACTGCACACGTTTTATGCATGATCAAACAAACTACCCTTACATAAACACAATGTAAATATGTAAGCACAGGGCGTAATTTCCTGTTTTCTTTTTGACGAAATAAAATTTTTCAAGGTTTTGAGCAATGAGTTTTATTCAGTAATTTACATTATGGATTTAGCGTTTAAATTCACAATCACGAACCTTTTTATGATCGATAAATTTATTTGGGAACAAAATAAATGCACAGTAAAGACAATGAATGAATGTCTATCAAAACTAATTATTATTTTATTTAATATTCACACATTTACAAACAAAATGTTTCCGAGTAAAATCGGAATATCGCAAAGCGTTCAAAAACAAAATGGTATCAGGAGCACAGCAGTGCAAAGAGCTGATTATACTGATTACCATTTGTGCACAGTTTCCAGCCTTTGCTAAAATCATTCTTGCACAGGGGCCCTTGCTACCTCCAATAACAATAAATATTAGTAATATAAAAATAAGTACCAATAATGAATAACATTATTCTTGCGCAGGAGCGTTATGTAACCAAGACTGGAAATTCTTTAAATTTTATGTTGTTTTACTAATTTTGATTAAAGTTACTGAGCGTTTATTATTTTTACTGTGCAAGGATTTTTTTACTGAACAAATTTCAGTAAAATACTGTGCGTGCTTTACTTAGCTTTTATCATTTTTACTGTGCAAAATATTATATTATACTGATCATTTTTATTTTTTTACTGTGCAAAAAATTGAATTATTTACTGATCGCTTTATTACTAGCTAATTTATTTTTCGGTGTGAAAATTTCACGTAAAACTTAGTTGGGATACAATGAATGACAGTCGCGTTTCTAAATATAAAACATTTATTGTACCCTCGAGAAATTCGACGATGCCACTTTGGACGTAACTGAAATTCATTATGGAATAGATCGACGAAATTTCATTTGCTCACTGGAAAATTTATGACGACGAAAGAGAATAATTAAAATTTAACAAGAATACGACGAAAAACGGCTCAACTTTAGCAATTTCAATGCGTTTTATTTATCTTCAGCGTCCTTCTATAAATAAAATTCAATATTTATTGTATGATAATTCACTTATCGTAGCATGTTTTTGTTGGTTTGGTGTTTGTTCAGCTTGCACTCACGGGTTGCATGCTTTATTTTGATTTCTTTTTAGAGTGAACGTGGGCTGCGGCCCCGCCGAGGAAAGAGTACTGTTAACAGGTCTTCATGCCGTCGCCGACATTTACTGTGAATGTTGCAAGACGACTTTGGGCTGGAAATATGTAAGTCGGATCGATAGACCTCGTGTTGTGTCAGAGCCATAATTGAATATTTTTTTGTTAAGGAGCACGCTTTCGAGTCCAGCCAGAAATACAAAGAGGGCAAATTCATCATCGAACTAGCACATATGATCAAAGAAAACGGATGGGACTGACGTTATTGAATCTCGTTTCGCGACGAAAATGCAGAAAAAAAATAAAGGACTGTCACGAAATAATTTCTGTTTTCTCGACTGGACTTAACTCTCGACATTCGTTCGGGACGATTTTTCTATTTTGCCATCGTGTCTTTTGATTTCGAGCCTTTAAAAAGCCAAATGATTTTTGATTTTTTGGAAGTTGGTGACGTCGGACCAGGGAGTTTATATGTCAATTTTCGGGTGAATGAGGACGGGCACTGCGACTATACCTAAAACCTTCAAATCTTCACGACAATTCAGCTCTTTTGAAAGCATTCTGTGGTAGATGAACTGTGTCTGTGGTAATGAATCTGTGGTAACGAATGCTGTGCACTGATATCACTATTTAGGACTTTCGACGGCGGTCTCGTATTTGCGAAAGACAGATTTCAGTGCATATTTAGAAGTAATTTATTTATATATTTCGTGTATCACATGGTTTTCTAACCGTAACTAGAGTTAAGATGTTCGTTTTGTTTACTTGTATTTCATTAATGAGCAGGCAACAAAATTGTAGGCGACTAAATTCACACTTGAAAATGTTCCTATTTTTCAAGACGATGCTCACATGTTGATCTCAACGACACCTACAATTCTGGCTAAACTGCTCATACGATAAATCTATAACCACAACAATAAATAAATTAGTTTGTAATGCAATGTAACACATATTTTTGTATTTATAATCGTAATACTTATCTTTGTATGCAAAAAAAAAAACGGACAACTTAAAAAACTTTCAAAGACTGATCTTTCAAGGTCAGTCTTTGAAAGTTGAAATTTTGTGATAGTTTCTTTGTGATATATTTTTCTCGTGTTGAAGAATTGCTCTTTTGACCCCTTAGAATCCCCCATTGTTTATTTTTAAGCAATTCTTCATCATTCTCTTAAGTTAGTGTGACTCTAGTTACTTTATAATCGAAAACCTAATAGTTGTAAGATCACGCGGCAATCTCACGTTTCATTCATACTGCCAGTAGCATTAGCGGTGTCATTTATGTCATATATTTATGGTAACATAATCTTTTGTATTGTTTTTAGATTAGTTATACATTTTTTTAAGTTAATAAGCCTCCATTTTAAAATGGACTTAATTTATTATACAACTGGGTTATGAAACTTGATTTTTTGTGACTCATGCGAAATTATTTACATAAATAAACGTAAATAACCATTCTCACCGTTTTTACCCCATTTCCTCGAGATACTGACGTCACAGTTTTCAGTTCGATATTCCGAAAATTAATTGATGAATGATATAGTACTATAAAAATGTGGTTTTATCAAAAATATAAGTTTTCAATTTTTTTTTCTGTTTTTGAGTTCTAAAAATCACTTTTTGTAAAATGTAGTGTAATGTTGGTTGCTTCAAAAACTTTTTCAGGCGAAAGTACTTCGCTAATGCCGGAGTTCGCGACGGCCATATTTCTGCATTCCCGTACTTGTCAATTCCAAGTCCAGTTTGAAATGTACAAAGTAATTTTTAGGATAATATGTAGCACAAATACTCGTAAAAGTCGTTTTTAATTCCTCTTTTTATTTCTACACATTTTTTAAGCATGTTTTTCGACCAAAGCGGGGTAGGTTTCTTTGGCAAAAGTAGAGGTTAAGTTTGTAACGAGAGAATTTGTAGCTTGCCGTGGCGGCGTCGCCCCCCGACGTGCCCGACTTGATGGGAATCGAGTCGGAGTACGTCCAAACACAGTGTATTTTAGCAGATGGGGGCGACCGATTTGGGGTAAGCGCCCTGGCTTTTGATCGCTATGAGGAGCTCTTGTGGATGGGCAACCAAGGCGTAAGTGGCGTTATTTCTGCTACTAGCACTAACAAGGGGCTGTTTTAAGGGCCACGTCACGTCTTACTACACCGGTGCTATGCAAAAATACACTTCGTTTCAAATCCACGCGACTGAAGACGTCAGACAGGTACTTACAATCAATGAGGGGATTCTAGGGCTAACCTCCAGTAGTCTAAGATACCAAATCAGGCGCGGGATCCCCGTTTTCACCCACACGTAAGCTCTTTCTCAGTGGCAAAACCAACATTTTCAGGAAAAATTTCAGTTCTGCAAACATGTATGAAATGCAATGTATGTTACAAGTAGGCGCCACGAGACTCCTCATGGGGGGCCACCACGGCAAATTGATCGATTTTAACATCGATTTGTGCAAAGAAATGCAAGTTGTGAGTAAAAATTTGGTTAGTTTGTTTGGGTGACCTAACCTTATTTTCAAGGTTGATGTGGGGGAACCAGGATGTGTGATGTTGCGCCCCCATAGTAGGTTTGTTTGCGCCGGGAATCCCTTAGGCAGGATTGATTTGAGAGACCCCAACACGCTCAATACTGAACACACACTAGAGACGCACAGCGGCAGTTTGAGCGATTTTGATGTCCAAGGGAACCTTTTGGTGACTTGTGGGTTTAGTAATAGGTAAATGGGGGCTTCTCGTTGTTAGTTTTATGAAAAAAGTTGATTTTTACATCCATTTTGGGTAAAATCTGGAAAATTAAGTTGGCAACACTGAACTATTGGTAAATTAGACTCTGTCAGATGACGTTGCCAACTTAATTTCGAAGGACATTTCGATCAGAAACTTTTTCGAAAGCATGGTACTTGAAAAATGTAGGGAGTAGGGAGGATTAAACAAAGCTTTACGCACTTTACAATTTTTTAAAATTTTTTTAATAATAATGAAGCAGCAATAAATACTCCATTTCTATTTTTTTGGAAAGTCAAGTTTTTATTCTGGTAATAAATATAAATATTAGTAAACTGGGCGATCATTTTTTATGTTAAGCAATTTATTCAACGCGATTTTATTTTTCTTAAGATTAATTACAAAAATGTATTTAAAAAGCGTTCAGTAGAAAAAATAATATAATAAACACGTACGTGTTCTATATTCTTGAAAGCCCGCTATTTGAATACTAGTTTATCATTGGTGCATTTTTTGAAGTTGGTTTCACAACAAAAATTCACCCTGTGCACATGCATCAGTATGAAAATTCTGAAAAAGAACTTAAAAACTTAAAAAAGCAATGTTTTTATAAATGTATATATTTAAGAATTTAATTAATTTTTAAGTTTAACTCGAAATTTGCAGTAATTTTTTTGTGTCTGAAATATAAATTAAATTTCGCGATATTCTTAAAGTTTGTTTGGTATAACTCTGTCTTTGGGGCAAAGCTAATGGAGCAACAAAATTTCCCTTCCGTGGTTTATTACTATTTCTCGTTGTTATAGTCGTGTATTGCAACACTCGCCACTACGTGGCTCGTGTCACAAACTGTTTGTAGCACTTATTTTTTATATACTATTTAATAATTGAAAATAATTACGAGACTGCAATACACACATACATTTTATTGAAAAACACCTGTTTTATCTATTTTTTTTGAAAAAACATTTTTTTCTCTGGTGATAAATACAGGCTGCGCCAGAACTCGCACCCCAGAGAAAAATGCCATATAAGGTGAGATACCAAGAACATGGAAAAAATGTTATCTATCAAAATTTCGAAGTTATGAGGATTTAAAATTTGCACTTTGACTTTCTTTATTTCTATTGTAAAAATAATTTTCTAAGTTTTTTTGCTATAGGCTATTAAAAGAGGAAACAAGGAAGCCGTATCCTAAATTGTAACTCTGTTCAATGTTATTTGTGGCTTTTATTGGCAAAATTTTTGTCCCTTTACTAAATAATAGTAAAAAAACATATAGAAGATCATCAGTATCATTAAATAGAAAAAAATGTCAAATGGCAAAAAATAAATGTCAAAATTTTTTGACAGAAAGAATTTTTTAAACATTTTTTTCATGTTTCTGGTATCTTACCTTACTTGAAAATTTTCTCTGGGGTGCGAGTTCTGGCGCACCCTGTATAAAAAAAAATCTGTGTGGACTACAAAAAAATATTTTTATGGCCATTTTGTTTAACATTTCTTAAAAATATTAATTTTAAGTATCACAAAATTAAAATTCTTTTTTTGAAAGAAAGAAAATTAGAGATCTTAAATGTCCATTTAAAACTTACAACTTTGGCTTGACCCATAACTATAAGACATCCTCTGTATGTATCTAATAATTTTTAAAACAAAAACCTACAAAACGGTTTTTGTTATCTTTTTAAATGCGAGTTTATCACCCTGTATGTTTACTTGGAAACTCAAAAAAAAAATTTTAGTCCATAATGGGAAAAATAGGCTGTTTTATGTTCCACTTTTGCGAAAGTTCTAATTTTTTCTCTGGTTGTAAAATTAAAAAAAAGTGGGTATGGGTTTGTAGACATGGGAACTTGAACGTGGATCGCTTTTTGATGGTATACGACCTGCGCATGATGCGCGCCGTGACCCCCATCCAGACCGTTTTGGACCCTCTTTATTTGCGATTTTTACCATCGGTCTCGTCGCGCTTGGCCGTGGTTTCGGCCTTAGGCCACGCCCAAATTTTGGACACCGTGGCCTTCGCTGAACCCAGACTCTGTCTCATGCAGATGGACAGTCCTGGTTAGTCGCCCTGTCACTCTCAAAATTTCTTGTTTTCTCATTGGCCAAATTCCAGCAATGTGTCTAACATTCGACATCAGCGCCACCAGTCAGGCACTAGCTTTCGGCGACAGCACCGGCTCCATTCACTTGTTTTCATCAACGGCCCAACCGCTGTTCAATTCATATTCGCGGATGACGGAACATGGGGATCCCCTAGTTACATATCCGAGTTTCGCGATTGATGATTACGAAACGCCACTGTCGGTTATTCCAATGCCGATCTGTCACGACGGTCTGTCGTCAGACTGGCCGGAACATTTGATGAAAAAGTGCTACAGGTTTGAGTTTGGGGATTTTGTTGCAATGGTTGGCAATGGAGGTGTTTCAGGCGACCAGTGGGTGTAGACCCGGAGGTTTTACGCACGATGAAGATGAAAGGACCGATTGGTTACGCACCGAATCCACGCACCACGAGGAGAAATCAAGTGAGACCTGATAAGTTACCAACTGTTTATTTTTGTTGATCGGAACGGTTCTAGTCGAGAGAATTAAAAAAATTTTTTGGTATTATTTATGTGTATCGAATTTTCCTTGATTTTGTGATATTTTTTTTGAGTAGAATAAATATTTAAGTTTATTAGCGTAGGTTTTCTTGGTCCCTCCCTAACTAAATGATTTTTTAGGTCACATACGAGATTGATAATAACAAATCTCGAGCGCTTAACAAACACGATCGCAATGCGAAACTAGACGAGTCTGAAGGTTTTATAGCGATTCCGAAACGTTACCGGAAAATTGACGTTAAATACAATAAACTGGGGACCGATGAATGTCAATTTGACCAGTTTAACAAGACGGGTCATACAGGCCTTGAAGCGACTTTGCCCAACGCCTACTGCAACGCAATGATTCAAGTACGTACGCATATACAGGGTGTGCAAGTAAAATAATTTTTTCAAGGTGTTGTATTACATTGAGCCGGTCCGAGCCGTCCTTCTCTCCCACTTATGCAACAAAGAATTTTGTTTATCGTGTGAATTGGGTTTTTTATTCCACATGTTACGAACATCAGCGAACAACTCGCCCTGTCAACCTGCCAACTTTCTACGAGCTTTTCGCACAATTCCCGAAGCTTCGGCCTTAAGTCTCGTTTACAGCGATCTACCACCCGATCAAAAATCAAAAATCAATCTCGGAGCCCTGATTCAGGTACCAACTTTAGCAAATTGACCAATTCTAGAGCCATTTTTGCAGTCCTGGAACCGATTTATCATCCACCAACTTCACGTGGAACTCGCCGAAGCCAAGAAGAAACATTCCGATCGCAAGAATAACAAAACGCCGTTTTCGTACAACGTGACCGATTTTCCTGCCATAGACGATCGGAAAAAGTGTTCAGGTTAGAGAAAAATCGTGTGTGTGTGTGTGTCATTCAGGTCCGTAATAAGAAACAATGAAGTAGGGCGCCCAAATTTTTTAGTGGGACTAGAACAGTTCTGCAGTTTTTTTAAACAAATCCTCGAACAGGTCGATTTTATTTTTTTAAATGCTATATTTTGACATTATAGTGACATTTATGACGTCTTTCGTTCTTGAGTTGTGACGTCATTTAATGACAAATGACATTTTTGTTCACTGTTTTAAATAGCACACATCTTTATCTTTCTGGTAATAAGAAAAAAAATTAGAAAAATTAATTTAAAACTGAAATAAATAAATTTTAAAAAATTAAAAAAAATATTGACAATTAAACACAAAAGGCTTCATCTTTTCTTGCCTTATTTTGTAAGGGGCAATTGTTTTTTTGTATATTTTTTTAAATAATTAGCATGAAAACGCTTAATATGAAACTTAAATACAAAAAAATAAAAACAAAAAACAATCACCTTTTATAAAATAAAGCAAGAACAAGAAGATAAAGCTGTTGTATAAAACTTTCTATAACTTTTTAAAGTTTTTTTATTTTATTTTCTTCTTTTTTGCATTTTTGTTGCTTACCAGAAAGATAACGATGTGTACTATCTAAAACAGTAATAAAAAAAGTCGGTTGACATAAAAAAAAAATAGTAATGATGTCATTACTCGAAAACGAATGATGTCATAAATGTAGCATTTTTTTGAAAAATTATTCGTAACAAAGATACAGGGTGTCCCAGCGAGTTGAAAAAATCCATTAGTGACCTTTCAGTGGTAAAATTTAAAAAAAATATGTAGGACCTTGAAATATATACATACTTATCTAGACCATCGCTTAAAATTTTTTTCGACTAAACAGCGTGTCTCAAAAATAAGTTACAATACAAACTTTTGTTTTTTTTTATATGTAACATCATATGTTTCTTAGCGTTTTTTTAAAAATAAGACGGTTTTTTTGACAAAAATATGCACTTTTTAAAAATTTATTACACAAAAACTAAGACATCTAGAAATATTTTTTTTACTACCGCAAAGAAGAAGGTACAAGCTATAAGGTTGATAGATAAAAAAATTAAGACGTTTGTTAAAAGTTCAATAACTTAAAATTTTAATAGAACACCCTATTTATTGTTTTTGCATTTAAAAGATTAATAAATTGTCTTTCTAAAAATATTTACTTTTTGGTGTTCATAATCAATAACTAAAAAGATATTTAACGTTAAACATTAAAAAAAATAATAATTACTATTGTTTCAGTAGCCAAAAAGTGCACAGTTGCACAAGAAATGGAAGAAATATCACTTAATGATCACATTTGTGTTAAACTGAATTCATTATTCTTTATTTTTACAATAAAATAATTCGAATTTCAGCATTTATACGCCCCCCCCACTAGCTACGGGCCTGGTGTGACTCTGGTAATTTGTTTTTGTTACAGCATCGGAAGTTAATGCGAACATGGAGCAAGAAAAACGCGACAGTGAGAGCGAAATAATCCAGTTACTTGGCGCGAAACAAATGCAGAAACACTCATGTCTCAAGTGCAAACTTGAAGTAAAAAAGGAATCGATTTTGCTCGTCTGTAACTTAATCTACCCAACCAACGAACCCGAACGTGACGAATGGAGTTTTTGCGATATTTTAACACGTTCTCTTTGCTCGCAACAGACCACCCCAGCGTGGTGCGAAGAATGCAAGAAGTTTGCACCAACACAGCAAACACGAATGCTTCAGGTGGCATCCCCTAGTGTCATTACAACCAGTTAATCGTGTGATTGTAGTCACTTCCGAAACTTTTGGCCATCAACACCGGCCTTCACAACCCGCAACATAAGCAGTTTTGGCAAAGTCAGATGGATAAGATTGTGGCTAAGGTCACAGAGAATGCTACTCCTCAAACCATCCCTCAGATTAATAGTCTCAGTTCATCGAAACCGTGCCGTTATGGTGACCACTGTTCAAGACCTGGATGTCGCTTTAGACACAGCTTTGACAATGTTCCACCCCCGGCGCCGGTTAATAACCCGTATTGTAGCAACAATTGGTTACCCCACTCGATTTCGATTGCACTCAAAGACGGAGAGTTGCTCATTGATAAAATTGAGAAGAAGAAAGAGGATGGTGGTGGGGATAAGAATGAAAAAGAAGAAGAGAAAAATGATGATGAGTGTAAGAAGTTGTATGATTTAACAGCTGTGGTTTGTTATATCAACGATCCGTCGTCGAGTGAAAAACGCAATGTTGTGGCGTTGATTAAAGTACCGGATTCTTATCTGTCAGAGACGACACAGTCGGAACATAAATGGTATCTTTTTAATGATTTTAGTATATCAACGGTGTCGATGCAAGAAGCGGTTTGGTTCAGTTTGGATTGGAAGATTCCCTGCATTTTGTACTACTCGTCGAGGGAGGTGTTGGAGGCCAAGTCGGGGATTTCCCCGCCGATTTCGAAGGTAAAATATCGTCTAAGACAGTCAGATTCAGTCTTATTAAAACACACACCACAACAATTATCGCATCATTTTCGTAAAGATAACACAAAAAAATATGTTAAAATTCGAATTTTACATGTACAAACACATCTGTACCTCAGAGCAAAACATCATTAACCACCAAAACGCAAATTTTTCTTTAATTCACATTTAATTAATTTTGTTAAATGTTTGTTTTATTCATAATATTCTACTTAGACTTCCTCAAAAATTTATCAAATGAAAATAAAAGGGCTTTATAAACTTCAGGTAATTTACTGGCTGTTTAATTATGTACATAAAATCAAATTTAAAAACTGGAGTCAATACTATTTTGCTCTGAGGTACAGATATGTGACGCAATAATTGTTACGGGGTGTGTACTAAACCTTATTAAATTGAAAAAAATAAAAAATAACGGCCATTTTAGTTCCTCGATTTACAAAATCCATACTAAATTTGGGCGTAATGATTAGGGTTCGGATTCTTAACATTATGCAAATTCGTTATTTTAATAAGCAACTTAAAATTTCTTGTCGATACACCAAATTAAGGTTTTCTGTTTTAAATAAATTAATTTTTTTAATGCTTATTTGCTAATTTGCCTAAAAAACGTTTTTTGTGCTATTTTTATGAAAATTTAGATCATTTTCAGTTTTTGATTTTTTTTAGCTTTGATCTAATAAACGCTTCATACACGAGCGGATATCTTTACGAATTTGCTCGCCACGTTTCAGATCTGACGGATATTCTACTCGTGTATGGGGCCCTATAGTTACAAATAATTTATAATTGAGCCGTCTAGTTGCAAAACCGGTTAAATCCAAAAATGACAAAATTTGAATTTAAATACCATATTTTTAATAGCTTTTTCATATGCGCATCCACCTACAAGATAGATAAAAAAAAATTGAAAAATAAAAAACTGAATTATAATTTGGCATTTTTAAAAGCCAATTATGCTTTGGTGAGTGACTCAATAGAAAAAAATTGAAAAGCGAGGTCTGACTTTAGTAGAATTAGTTGGATTAATAAATAATTTTAAAAACGCTATTTCAAAAGTTAAACTGTCAGCAATTTTGTACAAAAAAATTGCTAAAAATTTTGTGGAAAATGAGGATTATATTTGATTAGAAAAAATATCACAAGTGTTAAAAATTAATATTTTCGATTTAGATATGGATCCTTAGTCCGGTCAAAATAGACATTTCAAATAACAAAAATTCCGACAGAGCTAAATTTTGGTGGAGACCTTGGGTACACCATTAGAAATAAAGTATCAAAAGTCCCCATCGATCCCATGTATGCTAAAAAAGTTATTCGGGGTCAAAGGTCAAAATTTGACGTTTTTTAATTTTTTTTCGGAAACAGTAAGTTTTATCAAAAAAGTAGCCCAGACAAAAATTATAGATCTTAAGATTATCTACTAAATGGTCTATATACTTTTTTCCTAAGAATCACCATTCTTGAGATATCGCGATTTTAAAAGTTGTAAGAGTAACGTTCTACATCATATGCACATACAGAGTGCGCCAGAACTCGCGCCCCAAAGACAAATGTCATGTAGGGTAAGGTACCAGGAACATAAAAAAAATTAAAAAAAAAATCTCTATAAAAATTTCGAAGATATGAGAGTTTAAATTTTGCACTTTGCCTTTATTTATTTCTGTTGGAAAAACAATTTTCCAAGTTTTTTTGCTACAGGCTATTAGAAGAGGAATCAAGGAAGCTGTATCCTAAATTGCAACTCTGTTCAATGTTATTTGTGGCTTTCATTGACAAAATTTTTGTACCTTTAGTAAATAATTAAAAAAAAACATATACAAGATCATCAGTATCATTAAATAGACATAAAAAAATGTCAAATGTCAAAAAATAAATGTCAAAATTTTTTGACAGATAGTATTTTTTAAACATTTTTTTCATGTTCCTGGTATCTTATCTTACTTGAAATTTTTCTTCTATTTCATTAAACTTATGAATATCTCGATTCCATTGGAATTAAGAAGAATTTTTTTGGTAAAACATACAGTGTTTAAAAAATCGCGCACTTTCTTGAAAGGGAGTAATTGGGTAATCCCCAGAGTACTGAAAAATGTTTAAAAAATTCTATCTGTCAAAAATTTTTAACATTTATTTTTTGACATTTGACATTTTTTTATGTCTATTTAATAATACTGATGACCCTGTATATGTTTTTTTTTTAATTATTTAGTAAAGGTACACAAATTGTGCCAATGAAAGCCACAAATAACATTGAACAGAGTTGCAATTTACGATACAGTTTCCTTGATTTCTCTTCTAATAGCCTGTAGCAAAAAAACTTGGAAAATTGTTTTTCCAACAGAAATAAATAAAGGCAAAGTGCAAAATTTAAACTCTCATAACTTCGAAATTTTTTTAGATAGAATTTTTTAAAATTTTTTTGTATGGTCCTGGTACCTTACCCTACATGGCATTTGTCTTTGGGGCGCGAGTTCTGGCGCACTCTGTATGTACATATGATGTAGAACGTTACTCTTACAACTTTTAAAATCGCAATATCTCAGGAATGATGATTCTTAGGAAAAAAGTATATAGACCATTTTGTAGATAATTTTAAGACCTATAATTTTTGTCTGGGCTACTTTTTTGATAAAACTTACCGTTTCCGAAAAAAAATTTAAAAACGTCAAATTTTGACCTTTCACCCCGAATAACTTTTTTAGCACACATGGGATCGATGGGGACTTTTGACACTTTATTTCTAATGGTGTACCCAAGGTCTCCACCAAAATTTAGCTCTGTCGGAATTTTCGTTATTTGACCACTATTTTTATGACTAATTTGACCGGACTATCCTACGATAGCTAATTTTAAACACGGAATTTTATTACAAGTAGAGAAGTGGAAAGGAGCTTTTCACACTTTAAAAATATGCTAACCGATAAAAAAAAACATTTAATCATTATATTTTTAAAATGATGAACAATAACTTTATTATTTATATAAATACAGGGTTGTCCGGAAAGTCGCGTACCTCCGTGACACTGTATCATCTGGCGGTGCCCTAGACAACAAGAAAAATTTCAAAAAAAAACTATCTATAAAAGTTTCGAAGTTATGAGAGTTTAAACTTTGCACTTTGACTCTTATTTACTTCTCTTGGAAAAATAATTTTCCGAGTTTTTTTGCTACAGGCTATAGAAGAGAAAACAAAGAAGCAGTATCCTAAATTGTAACTCTGTTTAGTGTTATTTGTGGCTTTTATTGGCAAAATTTTTGTACTTTTACTAAATAATTATGAAAAAACATATACAAGATCATCAGTATCATTAAATAGACATAAAAAATGACAAAAAATAAATGTCAACATTTTTTTTGACAGATATAATTTTTTAAACATTTTTTCTATAAAAGTTCTATATAAAGTTCTATAAAAATGTGATCAAGAATAAAAATTTTCAAAATTTTCTTTTGTTTTGAGTTCTACAAAAAAATGTATTTTTTTAAATGGCAACCCACTATAGAACCATTTTTCTCAAGAAGGTTATGATCTAAGGATTACAAATATCTACTTTATATTTAATTAAATATTTTTTTTTACATAAATTGCAATTTTGAAATTTAAAAAAAAAATTGGTTTTCTCAAAATATGAGCCCTTTTTTATATTTTTTTAATTCATATTAATAATTATTATTTTCTGGACGCAAGTGATTAAAAAAAAAGCTTAGTTCCGTTTTGCTGTATGGATTATTTTTCAGTTTTCTTTGTTACCTAAACATTTCTTGTTTTGAGATTTTTTTATTAGAAAATTAATTTTGTTTTCAATAGCATTGAAGTTTTCTTGAAAAAAAATGAGTAGGAATATTTTTTATGCATATTTTGCTTAAATATTAAGCTTATTTTAGCGCTTATTTTCGTCCTTTTTTGTGTTAAAAAGTCCGAACTAGAGTTAGAATAATAATACACATAATTGTTGGCTGTGGAAAAAAATTGCGCTTTGTAATTAAAACAATAAACAAAAAATGCTTGGTTTAACAAAAAAAAAATTAAAAAGAAACAAAACATAACATAACAGTGGTAAAGAGATAATAAGTTGCTTGTAACAAGTAAATGAGCAAAAATGAATCGTTGGTAGGAGGATGCAAATCTGCATTTTCCCCACAATTGCTTAAACGTTATGAAAAAGTCACATTTTTTGAACAGGAAGTCTTCACTGAGGACGCTTGCATTGCGCGCAGTTGGGGCACCTCCGCCATCACGTTTACGCCACTCACCGACAACGAATTCCCAAAAAAGGGCGATTTAGTGGCCATGGATGCTGAATTCGTGACCCTAAATCAAGAAGAAGCCGAACTTCGCAGTGACGGTAAAATGTCAATGATAAAGCCGTCCCAGATGTCTGTAGCACGAATTACATGCATTCGAGGGTAACAAACCATGAATACAACTCGAAAAAAAAATAAGAAAATAAAATTCAGGTCAGGCTCCATGGAAGGCGTCCCTTTCATCGACGACTACATCTCGACGCAAGAACAAGTCGTTGATTATTTGACGAAATTTTCAGGAATCAAACCCGGGGATTTGGACGCCAATTTCAGCTCAAAACACCTGACGACTCTGAAGTCTACGTACACAAAATTGCGTTTTTTGCTCGACAGTGGAGTTATTTTCGTGGGTCATGGTCTTAAGAATGATTTTAGGGTTATAAACTTAGTAGTGCCTCCTGAACAAGTAGCAGATACTGTACATTTGTTTCACCTACCTCATCACCGGATGGTCTCGCTTCGATTTTTAGCGTGGCATTTCTTGGGTAGGGGAACCCCACAATTTTGACGAAATTCAACTGTGGTTTTAGGTGTAAAAATTCAGTCGGAAACGCACGATTCGGTCGAAGATGCCCGAGCCGCCCTACATTTGTACAAGAAATATAAACAATTGGAAGCTCAAAATAAAGTGGGGGAGGCGTTAGCCGAGCTGTATGAGAGAGGGAAGCTTCTCAATTGGAAAGTACCGGAAGATTAGCAAGAGCCTTAATGATGTATCATGTGTATTTTTTTATAAATGTTTTACGCCTATTTGCAATTTTTTAATGTGTTGTATCATTCCCGTCTTTATTTACACATAATCAAATGTCAAGGTGAAATAAAAACAGTGTAAATTATTTTTCCAAAATAAATTAATTTTATATGGACTTGATTTTTGCATAAAATTCACAATAGACTATACGAGATTTTTAAAAATGGTTACATCAATAATTTTTGTGCACATTTACTCGAAGTGTTCAATGTCTATGCACAAGCCTGGACCAATGGCGACGCTCTGGCGATTCATTATCGATAGATATTCTTCGACCATCGATCGAGGCTTTTCTGCAATCGACAGAGTTTCTTCGACTATCGATTATCGAAAGTCGGCGAGATTCTATGGAACATCGACGAGACTCTTGATAAGTTGCGTACGAATTTCCACAAGACAGCTCGCTTGGTCCGACCGGAAACGAACATCTTCGATATAGAGGGGGTGGTCTAAAACCTGCCCAACAGACGGTTAATTCGAAAGGAAAGTTAGCAACAACACAGTCAAAGCTGGGCGGTGCAGGCAAAAGTGTGCAAAGGAGAAAAACACAAAAAATCCATTGAAAACGGGACAAAAATAGTGGATTATTAATACTGCAACAACTTTGATTCAAAGAATTAACAACAAATAAATTTTATACGAAATTGTAAAGAGAAATTTTCTTCTCTAAAGCTGAAAAATTTTATCAAATTGACACATTCTTAAAATTTACTATAAATCAGGCTTCAACGTCAAATTTGACTTCCCAAACCGTTAAAAATGACATTCACTTTTGGTATAAGTACTACTTGCTATTTTAAAAACTTGTAAAGTGTAAATTAGGTTTTCATCAAAGATGACAATGTCAATTTCAATTTTTCGGATTCGGATGGTGCTGCAATAAAATAACAAAAAATTATAATAACTAATAAGTTATTTCTATTTACAAAGTTGAAGTTCATTGTTTTGAATCTTTAGGACACTGACTCGTAACTATTTGAACGCCATTTTAGAAACTTATTCAGTTTCAGGCCATTTTACAATGACAAAATTTCGGATTTGTGAAAGGGTCTTAGGTTTCAACGGCCGCGACTGTACCTACATAACTGAAAAAAATTACCATTAAGAAGAAAAAAGTTCCACCAATAAAAATTGAAAGAAAAAGTAAATCATAGTCTTCTAGATATTTTTTTCGATTATATGGTACTTAAAGTTACTGCATAATTATACGTTGTCAATAACTGGAATTCAAAGTGAATAAATTTACGAAGGAATTTACAGATTATTACTAAAAATAAATACACAAAAACAAAGCACTGTCATTGTTTGTGTTACTATCAATAGGAATTTAAGGCCCAAAAAATTTGGATGAGAAATTAATCAAAAAAAGTAAAAGACAGTCAAATATTAAACCTGGTTTTCCATCTACTGAAAACATCAATTTCGTTTTTGTTTTTTTAATAAAATCAAAAGTAATGTGAAACAATTTTTGCCACTCCTCGTAAATTTTTATAAAAGTTATTGTTTTAAGAATTAAAACTATTTTCCTTTAAACAGAATAAATGTCACTTACGTTTTTCATTTACATTTTCATTCACATTATATTAAGTCTTAGCAATGCGTGTTTGCAAAAACTAGAAGTTTGTCAAAAAAAAGCTTATGAAAAATACATCTTACACAATAAATTTTCTGATATTTTTGTAACTATACCTATTACTATATTTTTTACAATGAGATTTAATTTTTTTCATGACTAAAAGAAAACAAATATTTAAATTACACTTGAAAAGCTGTAAGAGTTAGAAATGTAGTATCTGTTACAAAATAAAAAAATCCCCCTGACCTGACTTGATTTAGTTAAGTACAGTCTACATGCACAACAATTTCAAACATATATATTGATCAGTGGATTCACTTATCTCAAATTATTGGAAATAAAATGATTGCATATCTAATTAATTCAAGCATAGAGAACCACATAATTATTTATTTGTTTGCCAAACAATCAATTTAATTTTGCCCAAATTCCCTTATTCGAATCAAATAAAAGTTAATTCCAAGGACAAAAACAAAAATAAATTGTTTTTTATTGTCAAATAAGTAATAAAATAGTAGATATTATATTTTTTGAAAATTAATAATTTATTACATTAACGTTTCTATACAATCTATGGTGCGTAACGAGTATTCTACCCTCCCTTGAAAAACAGCACAACAACCACACCACCAAATGCGCTACCTTAATCTAAACGCAAAGGTGGTCTCGACACCTTCCTACCCAGTTGTTTTAAATGGCCCCCATTTTCCGGCAGTTCCATAATGGACTCCCTCCTGACCAGCTCCTTCCTGTTGTGCTTCAAGACAGTCAAATCGGCCAACGAGCATTTCCTGCTCATTGTCGGTTTGGTGTTCTTGACCGGAGTCTGACTTTTAGCCTTGTAAAGCTCTAAAAAAGCGGCCCCGAGCGACGTCAGCAGGAGTCCTGCGGCCACACACCCCACGATGGTGCCCCTCGGCTCACTCGTTGTGTTATTTCTAGCAGAAATTTTCGGCAATTTGTGCTTTTCCAAATTGTCGACGTCTTCCGGTGTGCATTGTTCGTGCAGCAGGAAAAGCTCCCGGCACAGGTCCTGCAGGACGACTTGCAGGTACGAAATGGGACACGAGGGTTGTTCCAGGACGATTCTTGCGATTTTTTTCACTTTGTGTGCTGTTTCCGGTTCTTCGGTTTGGTTAAACGCAATTTCTGATTGGTTTGTTCCGGGAGTTTCCTCACTTTTGTTAAAGAAAGTGTAGTGGAGTAAAGGGTACACAAACACGGCAATTATGACAACTTTGCAAATTAAAACAGTCCCCGACATGTCATTGTTGCTTCTTTGTTCACTCATTTTCACATTTCTGGTAAATAAACACAGATAGGTGAGTTGGAATCGATAGTTCGGGGTTGGATATCCTGCTGACTCGTCGAGATTATTCCTGTCGCAGACCGGAACTTTCAGCAGGATTATTTGACTCGTCTACTGCTGAATTGTGCGCAAGCGTGCAGGATTTTCTCTCATGGTAAATTAATTGGGCCCCACTTTTGATTAATTCGAGATTCAAAAACGCACTTTGCAGGACAGTGCGTTTGCAGGAAATGCAGTTGAGGGGAGTTGGGAAGTGCGTAAATGGTGACCTTTATGCTTATGACACATTATATCACAACGTTGTAGAGATAAGGTATGACCCCAGATAAGAAACGTGTTTCCTTCTTACCTGTAGTGTAACAAAGCCACGGTGATAAGCCGTTCGCGTTTATGAACTTATTACTGTAATAAAATACGAGCGGATTACTGCGGGTTTTCAGTGGAAAAGTTTCATTTTTTATTTTTTTCTAATTTTCGTAAGTAGTTTTTTTATTTTATCGTAATTTTCATAGTTTATATTTGTTTTACTTGTTTATTGTAGTCGGTAACTTGTCTGTGTTTTTGGACAAGAAAAATTGTGCAATGAGCAATTTTCACTAATTTAGTAATTCATTATTTTGATACTTTAATATACGTCAAAAAAGTGTGCTTAAATTGCAGTTTTGGCGAATTTTTGTTGTAAAATATTTGTGAATAAAGTTAAACCAAGTCTCTGGATAATCAAATTTTTAATATGTAAAAATAATTTTCTAAAAAATTTGAAAAGGTCTTAAATTTTATTTACTTAGCTACCACGAGACTCCTTAAGGCCTTTTCTAACGACAAATTTTTAATTTGATGACAACCCCGTCAAGTAATTATTTTTATTTTGTAAATAGTACTTAAAAAAAATTATTTATCACTAGTACTCACAAGTTTAAAGTCCAACATTTGGTCACATTATTAATTTTTACAGATGTTGATCTTTACCTTTTTTGCAATTATTTGTTATGAAATAATATCTATAACAATTTATTTGTTATTTAAAAGTTTCAGCTTTTTATTTTTGTAACCTTTCTGCGTCACAAAACTAATATTTTGCTATAATTGTCCTTTTTTGTTAATAGATAGCATTTGCTACAAAGACACAGAAAATCAATTTATTATTTATTTACGTTTGTACTTTGAGCTGCTGTTGTACATAAACAGATAGCAAAAATCGAGGTAATTAAAAAAACTTAACAGAAATAAAATGCTAAAATGGAGTTGGAATATTTAGGACCAGAAATTACTAAAATTGGCATGTATCACACTATTCAATGTTGCCAACTCAATTTTCAAATCACAAGCAACATATATCCCATATCTTCGTCACTATATTTCTCAATAACGCCAACTTTTTTTTTCCTTTTATATTTTACAAAAACTGAAAGATTCATTTTTTTGTTTAATTTTTCTTGAAATACATACTTTATCTCTTAAAATAATTTAAATTTTTTGCCTAGACTGATGTTCGTTTATATTTGAAATATTGCAACATTAAGAAAAATATATGTACAAATAATCAGAAACTAACCGTTTCCTTTAACTAAAACAACAAAAAATTGGTTTAAATTTATGGGTGGGTTCCTGAAAATACTCTTATCTTGTTGTTTATTTGTGGTAATTCTAAAAAATGATAAACAGCGATAAATTTGGCATCAATTTCCGTTTGCTCCCTTTTCTGCTTTGTATAAATCAAATGCCAAATTATCAAAATGAGAGATCAAAAACCGATCAATAAACATCGTCTCAAGTGCTCAAACACCCCACTTCCTCAACAAATTTACTTTATTAATATTCTCCACATTATTTATTCCTTTGTTTGCTCAAACACCGGTGATAAACCCAAATCGAGTATATTTGCACTAAAACTAGCACAATCTAAATTTCGTCACAATAATCCACCCATTTCGTCGATCATTATCCCAATTTTTTTATCGGTTGAAATTTTAACTTTCATGATTTTTATGATTAAGCACTCGATCTTTGTCTGGCAATTTTGCCGCAAAAAGGTCAAAGTTTTGAGACACTCAAAACCCTCCGTCTGAGCACACACCGCCTTATCGTTATCAACAATCAAATTGTTTACTTTGAAATTTTGTCAAGGTTATGCAACCAACAATACACCCGCTTCCTGAAAAATAATTTTATAGCGGTCTATTTAAAGCGGCGCCGGTCAGATTTATGTTTCATTTCCAGTGAAAGGTGTCAGCTATTTTGAACTGTACATTTTTAGCCCGAGAGGTCACCTCAGGTCATCCTCCCATTAACTTTAACCTATGTGCTTGAAAATTTTCAGCGAAAAGCTCGTCCCGTTCCGTTTCAGCTCGGTCCAAATCTATTTAAAACGCCAAATATTTACTTTGATTTTGATTTGTGTGGCCGCTCTTTTTCAGAATGACTGAAAAATGCTGAAAAACTTGGATTTGTTGTGCGACGAGAAGTACATCGTCCAGAAAATCGAGGACAACTACTACAAGAAAAAGGGCCTTTCTAACATCATCGAGAACCTGAAAAGTCAGCGCTTTCACGGTGAGTCTGAAAGCTTTACGAGGGGCGATAGCATCGAAATTGTGATATTAAATTGTAGGGTGTGTTTTATTCGTATCTATTTTTCTAGTTTTCTATCTAAAAGCAATAAAGTTCGGTGTCAAGACGTGAGTGGGTAACAAATTAGGGAAAAAACTTACAATTAGAATTAGCGTCGCTTTGAGTCTCTAGGAATTTTTTCAGGCGTTTCATTCATGTTTATCTGCTATTATAACGCTTATAAATCATATCTTTGTAGCCAAAGGGGAAGGAGTGGCTCGAAACGTCGAGCAAACGCCGAGATAAAAATTAATAGAAACGCGGGGCTATTATTTAGATTTTTGAGCGTTGCAAGAATGCAAATAGAAATTTCTGTTTCTAGTCTTCTTATTTATAAAAAATGAATCGCGAACCAATGTGAGGAGATTAATTAATAGAAATTAAGTTCCTATTGAAGCTTGCAGTTGCATTCAATGGACCTAATTACAAGCTTAACAGACAATTAGTTTCTTGATTGTTTGTGTTCACGTCTATATTTTTTTCACCGCAGTTTCTTTCAGATTTTTTTTGTTCTCCTAATGAAGTCTTAATTACTTTAGACTCAATTATTCTAATAATAGAAGTGCTCTCAAAAACAGTTGTTTGAGTCTTTGATTTTTTGTGGACTTTTTTCTAAAAAGTTAGAATAGAATAAGACTAATTTTAGAAACTATTTCGAAAAAAAAGTCCGGAAAACACTCAATTTGGAGACTAAAATGTGTCTAACTAAAATAGTTATTTTTATTACTAAAAATACAGTTTTTACGGGCGAACTTTTTTGCGAGGCTATAGCCGAGTCTGGAACAGCAGATGAGTTTGTTAAAACTTTTTTTCTATTTTGTGTCTGGAAGAAAGCTTTTTTCGATATCAAAACCAATGCTTTAATGAGCAATTTCAACACCGATCTGGGTGCTAAAATAGACTAGTACAATTTATTTTCTAAAAGTTGATAATGGTGATTTTCAGCGGCGTTTTGAGCGATTTTTTTTTAAGGTGGTGTGCATGAAATATTTGCAGTATTCATTGTTAATTCAATAAAATTTTGAAAAATACTTGAGATTTAACACTTTCAAACTTTGTAACAGTTATATTACCCACCACAAACTATTATTCGAGCAAAAGATCCTAAATTTTGAAAAATCCTTCAGATTACGTTAAATTTAATTATTCTAATAATAAAAATGTTTTAAAACAGTTTTTTTGAATGCACTCTCAAAACAGCTGTTTTAGTCTCTTAAATGAATTTTTTTTGAGTTTTCCCCAATAAATTAGAAAAAGACTAATTTTAAGGACTATTTTGGGAAAAAGTAAAAAAGTTACAAAAACACTCATTTTGTAAACTAAAATGTATCTACAAAATAGTAAAGTAATCTTTTTTGAAGCACTTATTCTTTTAAATTTAAACTCGTGCTTCAAAAGACTGGTTTTATGAGACGTGTTATTTAATAATAGTATATTCAAAATATAATAATACTACTCAAAAGCACATTCAAACTTCTTATTATGTGATTGATTTATTAATTTAGAAATAAAAAATGGTACAGTTGCGGAATTAAAATTTTAGGCAGTATGTATGTACAGTTGGAGACAAAATACTTTGGTCATCAATGTCACTTGAGTGACATTACATTGTAAAGCATGCTTTAGGATTGTTAACCTTATTTTTAGCTACTGTCAATCATAGTTGACAAGTTGTACATATTTTTGATAGAAAAATATAATAGCTGTCATTAATTTGAAATTGACATTTATTTTAACGTTAAAGTTTGAATTACATTAAAGTGTCAGTTAAGTGACGACCAAAGTATTTTGTCTCCAACTGTATTCAAAATGTAAACTGTACAGTTGCGGAATTAAAATTTCGCATAATGTAAACTCTAAAACAACCTTTACATTAATAACCTCATTTTTTACTCTTGTCATGTTTATGTCATTTTGACTTAAAAAATAGCGTCACTGACGGAAAAGTTTAATTATCAAAAGTAAGTTATGAATGTCATGATGACAGTAAAAGGTAGTTTACAGTGAATTTTTTGAAGTGACAGAAAAATACTGCCCGAAATTATAATTCCGTAACTGTACATAAAATAATTATTTTACGTACTATTTTGTTGAAAAAACACTCTTTTTTGTATACGCTTCCGAAAATAGCTGTTTTAGGGATTCATTTTAGACTCTAAAAAGGTGTAATTGAGGTGTTTTGGGGGCTGTGTATAAAACTTGAGACACCTGGTATATGTTTAGTGAAAACTTTTGGATAAAACTTGAAACACTTGGTACATGTTTATAAAAAACATTTGTTACGTATTGTTTTGCGAGACACTATTTTTTTGAGTCGGAAAAAAACTGTTTTTTTGTATACGCTCCCGAAAATAACTGTTTTAGTCTCTAATAAGGTGTAATTGAGGTGTTTTGGGAGCTGGGTATTAAACTTGAGACACCTGGTATATATTTAGTGAAAACTTTTGGATAAAACTTAAGACACCTGGTACATACATGTTTATAAAAAACTTTTGTTACGTGTTGTTTTGCGACATACTATTTTTTTGAGTCGGAAAAAAACTCCTTTTTTGTATACGCTTCCGAAAATAGCTGTTTTATTGACTCATTTACTCAAATGAGTTTACTCTAAGAAGGTGTAATTAAGGTGTTTTGGGGGCTGTGTATAAAACTTGAGACATCTGGTATATG